ATTAAAATGCCTGTTTAACAATAGAACACGTCATATACTTTTTATAGTCAACTCTCTTAGAAGCGTAGGCAGGGGTAAAAACACCCCCTTGTTAGTGCGGAGGGTCTAAGGTAGCAGGTCATACACCAGTGATGGATTTAACTGGTAAATTCACTTTAAAATGAAAAAGTCCTACTTTACTGTCTTTTTAGTTGTGGAGCAAAAAGGGTGAATTGGAAATACCTCCGTCTGTCTGTGCATGTTGTGAGCGCGATAACGTGACATTAAAGTGAAGTACTAACTTCCATTTTGGTGTGTGGCTGCATCTAGGCCTAAGAAAGGCTCCTTTTCAAAACTGGATTGCCATGTCAAATTCCAAGATGGCCACCACCATGTATATAAGTAAACTGACCACCCCATCATCTGAGCTATCATTATGCTTTGAAGTTTTTATATTTCCTAAAAGTATAATTTCCTCAAATGATTGAGGTGGCTGAAGAATAATCTATAGTGGCCAAGGCCACCATTGGCCACCCCCTGGCTCCACCTTTGTGCTTGGTAGTGGATAAAATCGCTCCTTCTGCTCACCAGGATTTGTCTCTCTGCACCGCCTTGGACAAGAAGAAAAACAACAACACCTCTGTTCTTCTACATTAACATTAACATTCTACAAAAACATTAAGGTTTACTTACAGTTCCTGTTCAATTCCAGTCCAGAAAACACTCATCTCACAAACTGCAAACATTCACAGTTCGAACCCGTCGTGGACATCGACGTACTGCTTGTATCTAATCTGAACCGTAAAGAACTGCCAACCCACAGGCATGTGTCACACTGAATGTTTGTTAAACTCCAGGAAGGTTTCTCGTAAAGGTCAACTTTGAAGTGACGTTTGGTTTAGTGGTTATCAGTAATCAGTACCTTATCACAGAGCACAGTGTGGAGAAAGAGGCGAAAGTCTTTGTCCAAGCTAGACTAATGGCTAGGGCCTGATTTTTTATAAATTTTCAGGGTTGTGAAACAACTCTTTCTCTAAATGGGATCCTGGTGAGAAAGAACGCAGCGGATCAAGAGAACCGTTACATTCAGCAGCCTCAGCATACAGTGCAGAGTCAGAATGTGGAAAAAAAGCAAATTTCTATCCATGTTTAAAAACATTTGAACAAGTAAAATTATATTTCTTAATCGTCAAACGTGTTTTATGCCAGGTGACGATAAAACCACAAAATGAAAGGATCTGTTTGTCTCTTGTTTGTCCTCTGCAGCAACTGAATCACCCCAATGTAATCAAGTACCTGGATTCCTTTATTGAAGACAACGAGCTCAACATTGTTCTGGAGCTGGCAGATGCTGGAGATCTGTCCCAGATGATAAAGGTCAGAAGCTGCTAGATGATGGAAGCAGACGGAGACCAATAAAAGCACATGTGACATGTTACGGTTTATCACAGATATTTGCCTGAAACTACGTTTTACTCTTTTCTTTAGAAGCCTAACGTTACAGATCGTTTCAAAATGTCCTGATGCAGGTAGATAAATCCAGAAAGGTTGAGTCAGGTCCTCTGGACGGATCCTTCTTGTTGAAACGTTTCATCTTTTATCCAAAAGACCTTGAGTCTGAGGAGCTTCAACAAACTCAGTCTTATGAACAGCAACTTCTCTTAGTGGATCAACCAATCTGCTGGTGACATCCAGAACTAGCTGTTCACATGCAAAAGGAGGTCCATCCACCTAATGACCAATTGTTAGCAGCCTGATGGCTGTTTACTATTCACAGAGGGCTGAGTGATACTAACAATCACAGCATTGTAAGAGGGGGACAGTTGAACCCGGAGGCTCCACCCCTGTTTAATGATGGACAGTTTCTTTTCACAAAGATGGCCTCCTTTACTCCTCTCTCAAACCAGCGTCCCTCTCTGTCCAGGATGTGAACATCTTCATCCCTGAAAGAGTGACCGCTGGCCTCTTACAGAGATTGAGATGTTAGAAAAGTTGTTTTCCCTTCACCCAGGTCTGAACTTACATGTGTGTGTTTGTTCTTCTGTGTTCAGTACTTCAAGAAGAAGAGGCGACTTATTCCAGAAAGGACAATCTGGAAGTATTTTGTGCAGCTGTGCGGCGCTCTGGAGCACATGCATTCACGCAGAGTGATGCACCGTGGTAAGCAGCTCCACACAGACTCCCTCATCCTCCTGGTTACGTTTTCATCACGCACACCTCCTCTCCTGACTCTACGGATTGATTCAGTCTTCATCCTTCTGCTGTGAGCAGATCTTTTTACTTCTTTCTCAATTCCTCTCTCATTTTCCACTGTCAAACTTCAAAAACCCAGTAAAGCAGCATCTGCAACAAGGTGGGCTTTTATATGAACAATTGTCTAATGTTTTGTTAGGTGAAATTGAAACACTTGAAGAAACAGGTTTATCATGATTATTGCAACTGTTTCATTTTTACAATCAACAATTATAAAACGATCCAAAGACACTTAAATATTTACATACAACCGTATGGACAGTGTGCTTGCTCTCCAATCAATCTGAGTAAGTTTGGGTTAAGTACATAATTCTTTTTCTGACTCTGATGGAAGTTTAAAATCCATTTGTGTTCAATCAGATATCAAACCAGCAAACGTGTTCATAACAGCCACAGGGGAGGTGAAGCTGGGGGACCTCGGGTTAGGACGCTTTTTCAGCTCTAAAACAACGGCGGCGCATTCTTTGGGTAAAACACAGAATATAGATGAGCCATGTTGCACATAAACACATGGTGTGTACACTGAGCCACTAAGTGAAGGTAAAATGTGCATTTTGATAGTATTTTGTGTGTAATGCTGTACGTTCTAGTGGGGACCCCTTACTACATGTCACCAGAGAGGATCCATGAGAACGGGTACAATTTTAAGTCCGATATCTGGTCTCTGGGGTGTCTTCTGTATGAGGTAAGTTCTCTTTTACTGGCAGGACTTTTTCTTTCATTCAGGTTATAAAGTTTAACTTTTTCTTTGTGGATTGAAATGTGTCTAACTTGTGAAGCCTGAAGTTTGGAGAGTCTTACCTCCCAGTCCTTGAGATGACTCGTCTTTGTCGCATGTTTACAGAACATTTAGTGAGGGGGGCAGTTCATTTTTAATATTGCATTTTTTAAATTTATAACTAACCTGTAAATTAAAATGAATTAAGACTACACATATTTGTGATTGCATAGAGGGATATTTCTTTTTTTGACGGGGGAATCAAAATGACAAGTTTAAGAAAAGTAGATGCTTCAAATGATTAGGTGCCTATAGAAAGATACACGCTGGTGGGAATTACATTTTTTGAGTATTTCTTTTTTAATTAGATCATGTCAGACGCTGCTGGTCTGTCATGTGGGGTCTCTCAGGGTTCTGTTTTCTTTTTTATTTACTCCTTGCAACATCTATTCGCCCCATTTATGCTGATGATGACCAGACTTTGACTAATTTAACATGAGTCTGAGTGTTGTGGACCTGGACTGTGGAATTAACTTTTTTTTGAGGGGGAGGAGGGAGCAGCTTTTGGGATTTATTTTGGTAAAATCCACCTTGATAAAGTATTCTGAGCGTCCAGGACTTATGAGGTCTTCAGGAGCTTTTATTCTTTATTAACCTATTTAAAGTAATAGAAAAAAAAGGAAACGTTAGGAAAAGGTGTGACATCTTCTGTAACAGAAGTGTCGACTTTCAGTGGAAAAGTATTTTGTCTAAAGGAAAAGTTCAGGTTTTTATGTTAAAATTGAAAGTTAAGAGATGTACGTGGTAAAAGTAAGAACTAAGGAAGCGGTTATGGTTTTATCCACATGCAGTAACCTGCACTGGTTAGATGAATACAGGCCAGTCTAGGATCCTTAAAACTCTATCATATGACAAATGTTCATGCAAAACTGCTGCCTGTCCTCAAAACTGTCTCGCAGTCGGCTTTAACGTGGCTCGTACAAACGTCCTGCGCTCTGAGCACGCTCTCTGAAGAACAGGCTGCAGGTCCTGCCAACTGCAGAGCAATGCATCTCCAACATTAGAGCCCAAACACGTCAAAATAAAAGTCTTGAAGTTATGAGTAAACCATTTTGTTGACTGGGCCCGGGTCAGTGCATACTGTATTTCTGAATACTGTTTAGATTATTTAGGTAGTAATAGTATATTAGTTGGGTAGTTGAAATGTTGGTTTTTGTTTGGCGTTTGTCAAACGACACCAAACGTGGAGTCTGTGGGGACTTTGAAACAAGTGGATTCACATCTTTACGTAAAAAAAGCAGCGTTTCCTGTGAGTTTGAGAATGTACATTGATTGTTATGTTGCAAGGTGTCAGTTTTATTTTTATCCCTGCTGACCTCTGTCCTCATTTCATGACAAGTAGGAGGTTCATATTGCTATTGACTTAAAACACTCAATGGGTGCAACTCATAGCATCACACTGCTGAGTGAGGAAACTACTTCCAGCATTAGTGAACTTAAGACATTTATTATTAAGCAGTGAATCCACCCAACAACTGCAAGTTCTGCTGCAGAAAACATTTCTCTTATCCAGACGAAACGAGTCAGAGTTTATTTTTCTCCTCAGTTTTTAAAGTATAGAGTCAAACATGAACCTAAAGCTGTAGTCTGCCTACATGTTTTTGTTGATGTCCTGGTGAAGAGTGGGCAGCTGTCTGCAGCGTGGAGCTGACTCCAGGTACTCTGCTGTCGTTTGAAGCTCCCAGTCTGCAGGATTTAGACTGGGTTGTCCCACGACAGTTTTCAGTGTCGTTTCTTGCCCTGGTTCCTGAAGTTTGATGGAAATCTGAGAGCAGGCTGTGTCACGTCAGTGCGTCTGTGACAAAAGCTGTGAAATGAATCCTCCTGAGAGGTTTGTGCCTGATGCCCCAGGACTTCCTGTCATCACAACCTGTGTAACTCTTTCTTCAGATGGCGGCTCTGCAGAGTCCTTTTTATGGGGACAAGATGAACCTCCTGTCTCTCTGCCAAAAGATCGAGCAGTGTGACTACCCCCCTCTCCCACCTGACCTTTACTCTGAGAAGGTAAACGAACATATCGAGTCTATAAAACCGTCACAGTTGGTTTTAAGCTTTAGCAATAAGAAGAACATGATTGATCTACTTTTTGTCTCAGCTGCGGGGCTTGGTCAGCATGTGCATCAACCCTGACCCAGACCAGAGGCCGGACATCGTCTTTGTGCTTCAGCTTGCCAAACAGATGCACATGTGGGCCTCCAGCACCTGAACGCCTACCGTCGTCGTCTCTGCTCAGACTGAGGAGCTCAAACCACTTAAAGTTGCAGAAATGTGCCTTAGCTTCATTTGAGAAAACAAAAGATATGCACAAGTAGACACTCCCAACATCTTTTCTGTCCAGACAGGTGTGGAGAAGACAGTAGTTGAACGAGTGAACTGAAATGTTCAGATCTCTCCTCCAGCTGAGGACAGAGCTGCTCCCTCTGATCTCTGAGCTTTCTGTTTGTAAAACTGCACACGAGCTGCAGTCCAAGTTCACACCCTGTCTCCTAATAATGTGCGCAGCAATGCCGCGCAGTTTGAATGTTTATTTGTCTTTCTCATAGTATTGTTTTGTACAAATTAAGTTCTTAAAATGAACCGTTTGTGGCGCTGACTCCGTCCAGTTATGAAGTATTTACAGAAAATATTGATGTTTTTAACACCGTCAACTTTCTCTTGTCCCGCCCTTAACTTCTGATCTGCTCAAGTTTCATTTAATTAAACTTCAAACCCATATGCATCATCACTAAACTAGTGTCACATGCACATTTCATTACTTCAAGGTCATGAATCAAGGTCAAAGCTTATGCCAGGTCTTAGCTTGTCAGGGCCGTTGCTATAGATTGCTGCATAATAGTTTGACGTGTATGTGACGTATACTGTACTTTAAAAAAAATATTTTAATCTGTTTGCATCTGTTCCCCAAAAATATGAGTTTAAATGACTGTATTATAGGTTTAAGGCCTGTTCTCAGAAAGATGTTGATAAAAAATGTAAAAAAGAAAAAGCTCAATCACAGATGAAGTTATTAAAAATGACAAAGATAAGTTTAAATCTAAGGTAATCTGTACCGTACTTTCCGCCGTATAAGTCGCATCAGTCCAAATATGTCTAATAAAGTGGAAAAAAAAAACATAAATACGTCACTTCATCGTATAAGTCGCATTTATTATGCATCACTGCTGAAGCGTTGCGTTTGTTGTGCGTCACTGCTGACCACCTGGGGGACCGATGTTGTGCCAAAAATCGATTGGCTGCCAAATGGCGGCTGCAGGAGGACTTTAACAAGAATTTAACAATTTAACACTTAAAAACAATTATTTGTTTGCTCGAAATTATAGCAAAGGTGTGTCTCAGTTGAACTTTTCCTTAATAAATGCACTTTGTCGGTCAAATCAGCTGCATTTTGCCGGGGCGGCGCAGCGAAAGGCAGCTGATTTGACATTTGCTCCAGGAGTTCCAGAGCGAGACAAAAGTGGCTCGCTATGGCAAGCCAAGTGTCTCATTAATAGCTACTTTAAGCTATTAATGAGACACTTGGCTTGCCATACTGGTCGAGCACCATCTAGTGGCTAAAAATGGTAGTGTTCAATATTTTCCATGTCAGAATGAATGAAATCGTCAGATCTCAGCAAAAGAAATTGGGTTATAAATATGGGAAAAACATGAATAAGTCACTTCACTGTATAAGTCGCAGGGCATGCTAATTTATGCAAAAAGGTGTGACTTATACAGCGAAAAGTACGGTAATCATTACTTGTGTTAGTGTATCTTTCTTTAAACTAATATTTGACTTTTTGTCATAAAATGGCAACACAAGCTTTATTGTTTATTTTTGGAGCAGGCCTGCACTTCTTTAAGCTCCGGTGATCTTCACCTGCTTCTGTGGAAAGCTGAAGATGTTTCAGTGTGAGTGTTAAAAACTGGCAACATTTCCAGACCCTCAAGGACCTTCGTGTCTGCGACATTTCCTCTAAATCTGCCTTTTTTTATTTTATTTATGCCCACAGTAGTTGTACTCAGATGTTTAGCTTGTTTTTGGATCACCTCTGTGCTTGAACCTGACCTAAGTCTGGTTTCAGTGAGCCCTAGAATAAATAGAAACTGTCCAATGGTTGACATGTTTTTAAGAAATCCTCAATAATCTTGACGTTTTGATATTTACACATTAGATGTGGATTTAGCGTTAGTGATTTTCCTGCAGGAGGTGTAGATGGTGTGTGAACAAGTGTCGACATCTGAAACACAAAGCAAAGAAAAGCAGATTTAGTTTGAGACAGAGTGAGGAAATGGACCTAATCTGAGCACTGGATTTACCAGAACAGATCCTCCTCTCGTCATTTCCTTTTGCCATCAGCAGCACATCAACTTTAAGGTGCTCAAATCAGCACGTCGTTACTGTGAATCTACACAGAGAAATGAAGACTGTGACCGTACCAGACAGTGTGTTTAAAGTTTTGTTTTAATCTGTGATGGTAAAATAAATGTTCTGTCTCTGTGAAAGTGTTTTCTGTCATATTTGCACGCTTACTCGTGCTTTTCTTTAAAGAATCACGTCAGTGTTCTGCTTCATAATTAAATATTTTCTCAGACCTTATACTGATGCAAGTTATTTTCAGGCTCTATTTGCACATGACACCTGAAGGTCAATCCTTCAGGTGCAGAGCTGCTGAAAAAAGCTTTTTAATGTTTTAGGTTACATTTATGTGAAAAATAAATAAATAGAAGCTGATAGATGCCTGGTTTAACCTGACATTTCTGAGCTCTTTTTAGTTGAATATTGAAACAAGTTTTCCTTTGAAGTTAATATAAAGCAAGAATATGAGCAGTAAATATTGTAACAATAAATCCTGTTGTGGAATATAACCTGATTTAGATTTATAACGCTCCGTTAAGGAAGTAACGCTTAAAGGTTTCCTGAACTGTCAAATGGTGCAGTTTTAAAGTTCACTCCTGCAGTTTTCCAAATCTGTAATGCAGGCATGCACTCAGTGTAAACAAACAGTAAACTTTAACTGTTTTTACGTGACTCTACAAATCTGAGTGTAAATGCATACATCAAAATGATCAGACCTCTCCATCTCAGGCAGCTCTTCCACATGGATGTTCTTTTCATTTCAGCCACATTAGCTGTTTTTAGAGGTAAATACATTTCCATGGCGGTTGGCATTCAGCCACAGATTTGGCTTCCAAATGTTTAATTTGAGGACACATCAACCACATAAGAGGAATAACAAAATAGGAACATTGTTTTTTAATTTCTCTTGCTCAATCTTGACTTTGTACCGAGTACTTTTAACATAAACGACAAACTAGTACATGTACTAGTATACATTTAAGTGTTTTTACTTTGGATGGGAAGGGAAACAAGTTGCTAGGGAGTAAAACTGGAAAAACTATTTACTAATATCCAAGTTTCCCTGTAAAGAACTTAATCCGGGTGAGATTTTGGAAGATGGAGCTTCTTCAGCCTCTATCCTGTGATCCCGCAGCGCCCCCTTGTGGACGAGCAGGGAACTTTATTTTTGACTTTCAGGTGCCTGACTACCTCACTGTATAAAAAATATATTTTAAGTAATTCAGTGTAATCCATTACTAACTAGATCAAAGTTTTAAGCTTCCTTTACATTGTGCAATTTGAAGAGTCAAACTAATAATTTATATTTCTGAAGTCACACATGTTAAAAGTGGATAAACAGCACGAGTGATGATCCATCAGACAGTAAACAGCTTGTTTGGCTCAGACAGGAAGTTGTTTTCGTGTGATCCGTCTTCTTTACACTACACATTTATTCACAACACTTTTAAAGAAATCAACAGAATCTTCACTTTACAATCAACTTTTATTGTAAACCATGGACAAAAAAAGCATGTCAGGAATTCAAAAGGGGGTCACGAGTTGCACTAAGAAGCGTTGGGTTGGTAAATTACGAGGTGTCCATGGTTTGGACGGACTCTTCCACCAGCTCCAGGCCCAGTGGACTCACAGCCTTCGTCAGCACAGCCGTCGTTCCTCTTTTGTACTTGTAATCGCCAGTTCTACATCGAGGAAGAAACAAAGGTCCGTCACATTTATTGACATGTTTAAAGGTTTTTCTAATGCACAGCATGCTGCAGTCTGCCACTCCATCCTACAGACACAACTGTACACACTGGGTATGTAAAGTCAAACTACGCAGGGCGAGCGGAAACAAAGTAGTAAAATGAGACGAGTTAGTCGCAGCGGCTGTCTGCACTCCACCAACACACTTCGTCTGTACTCACTGCTGCAAGGCTTCAAGCTCATTTAGTCTTCAGGCAGAACAAGCAACAGAACAAGTCGGTCAGTGTTCATGACAAGTCCTGAGGCAACAGCCTCACATGCTTTACGGGTGACATGAGGCGCGATGCACATTTAATTGTCTCACTGCACCGACACTCAGAAGGAAATGTGTACAAATGGATCCATATGTTTTAGAAACATCCCTGCAGCCAGTCTCACCTGACTCCCTTCTTGTTGGCCTCATCGTGCGGTCTGATGTAGTCCACGTTGCCCTTGGTGATGACGCACAGATCGATGTTGCTGCCAGAGCCCAGGTCGTTGAAGATGCCTGCAGCGATGGCGTCACGCACCAGCCGCTTGGCTTCCTCCTCCTTTGAGAAAACAACATGGACACAAGTGAAAAACAGCTCGTTCATGCAGGATTATTTACCCGTCCTGTAACTCACCTCCATATTGGGCTTGTAGCGGTCTTCAAACACAGCCATGGCAGCCAAAGAGCCAGAGCCTTTAAAAACAACAACACGTCACTAACTTGACATTTGCCTTTAGTTTAGCCCAGAAAGCTTTTTGACATTGAAGCTGTTGCTTTAAAGACACATCGTGCCTGGACTCTGATCATACTGCTGTACCTTCAGCACAACGGAGTCCCCAACAGAATATGTAAACCCTCTTCACAGCCCCAGATACATTACAATCAGCGTGTTTTGAGTAAAACATATCGAAGATAAGGATTCTTGAAGTGCCAAACAAATGGGAGCTCTGATTTCCTTTAACAGAGCAGTGATGAAAACACGTTTACAGATGTTCTGTCACTGCGTAACAACATGAGTTTGTCACATAGTTTCTGTCAGTTTGTTTAATCAACACATTTTTTAGCTTCTTGAACACATAAACAAATATAAAATCTTGTTTTCTGGAAATTTATTAGTGATTTCAAAGTCTTGTAATTTTTACTTTCAATATTCACACACGTACTCAGATTCCTTTCCAGGTTTCTAAAATTAGTTTTACCACAAGAAAACCAAAAGAAAAAAGTAATTAAACTGTTTTGAAATTTATCATAAGGGTATATTATAACTAAACATGCCATTTTTTATGTATCCCAGTGTCCTGTGTTCTTGAGCAGCACCCCAAAAATCCACATTATGGTGACTAAACATCAACTTCTTTAGTGACACAATGATAGACGTATAAATAAAGTGTGGTAACAACATCCATCCATTATCTTTACCCGCTTCTTCCTTTTTGGGTCGCGGGGGTCACTGGTGCCCACGTCCAGCTATCACTGTGCGAGAGGCGGGGGACACTCTGGACGGGTCTCCATTCCACCACAGGGACACACAGAGACAAACAACCACTCACTCTCTCACTCACACCTACACACACATGAGACTGACCCATAGTGACGTAGGGCAGCTTATCTGTGGAGCCATGAGGGTAGATGCTGTACAGGTGAGGACCATTACAGTCTACTCCCCCCAGGACCAAAGCAGCACCGATGTAGCCCTGATACCTGCAAACACACACAGAACAGCTTATTTACAACTCGCACATCTGGCAATTTTGTTTTTATTACAGCCAAAGGAGGAAAGGAGACCCGAGTCACTTGTGATGACTTAATAAAGTTTCACACCACTTTCTTTGGTCACCACATTTTTCCAGGCAATCGTGTTCATCAGAGTTAAACACAGTGACAAGCAGTTTTTAAGTCTGAGCGAGTTTACAGAGTGTAGGGCGCACCTGAAGAGCATTTGTTTGAGCATGCGGTTGGCGGTGGCCACGCGCGGCACCCTGCCCGTGGACAGAGCGTGCAGCTCCAGGTTAGAAGAGATGATCTGAGTGGTCATCTCCGTGTCTGCAGCCGTTCCTGCTCCACAACAGCTGGACAACAAGAAGATTACACAGCAGTCAGGAGGCGTCACATATTCAACACGTCAGCTCCACTGACAGCTGCTCTGTCTCAAAGCCACGCTCACGACTTCCAGTCCACTACATGTGTGAGGCATCGCTTACTAAATGTTGGGGGAGATGTAGTGAATCTTGGAGCAGTTCTTGTCTGCCACCACCATGCCCTCAGTGGCTCGTGTGTCGGCTCCGAGAACAACACCATCCTGAACATGGAACCGCAAGATGTTAAATTAACCAGTCCTCACTGGTCTTTAAATTAGGTAAATACAACCTTTGACACGCTACAAAACACAACTGGGATGTTTAAAAAAATAAATAAAAAAAAGATTCAGTTATTTATCCATCTATTTTCTTTACCCATTCTTTTATTTCTGTGTCTGAGGAGCTGGTGTTTATCTCCAGCAGCCATTGTGTGAGAGACGGGGGACACCCTGGACAGCTCTCCAGTCCATCACAGGGACACAGAGACAACCATCCACTCTCTCACTCGCACCTACAGACAATTTAGTCACCAGTCAGCCTAACATGCATGTTTTTGACCTGTGGGAGGAAACTGGAGTACCTGAGAAAACCCACTTGAGGAGAACATGCAAAGTTCACACGGAGGCTGGGAGGTAACCTGCGATCTTCTAGTTTTGAGGAGACAGCACTAACTTCAATTATGAACAAAAATAGCCAACATGTAGAAGCAGTGTGTTAAAAAACTAATTATATCCTTACTGCTTCCACAATAATTAGGACTGTGAGTAACATGGAAATGCTGCTAATTAAATGCATAGATTAATCAGTTTGCTGCTCTGGAGCATCCAGGTGTGTTAATACAATGCCAAGAAGGAACGACAACAGCAATGACCATGGAGAAGCAGTTGCTGTTGCCAATCACTCTTGGAAGGGTGATAAGGCAGTCTCAGCCTCTAAAGACCTCAGACAGCATGATAAAGGTTTAAGTACAAGCATAAATAAATAAATTTAAAAAAGGTTTGACTTATAAGGAAAATAAATATGAAATGCCTTGTAAAAAGGGGGTACAAATATCCATGAAGTACTCATTTGTACTGAAGACAATCCCACAGAACTGTGCTGACTTTCTTCATGTTTGAGTAAATCGGAGTCTCGCACCTTGAAGACAACTCCACAGATTGTCGTTCCTGTCTTTCGAGCAGCAGGCAGGTTGAATCCCAGTTTGCTCGTTTCGCCTTCCAAAACGGCATTTCTGAAATTAAAAACATTAAAGAGACTGAAAAATAATCGTAGCAAGTAAAACAGTCAGGATACATAATGAAAAGTATCTGTTTGCAGAGCTTTAAAACAATAATAAAACCACAATGAGCATGGAGATCGTGACATCATGAAATCAGATTCCGCTACAGAAATAAATGTACAAACTGTTT